TTCTCCTCTTCATCACTCTTTACTTGTTCATTAAGAACCAGGAGGGATTTTATTAGTATTTTGTAATATTGTGTATTTTATCTGTGTCTCGATAACTCTTGTTTCTGTGTGACACTAAAAATATTCTGAGACTTATCAGGGACCTGAGTTCCTCCCACCAGCCTCTCGCACTGAAACATAGATACAGATAGATATATAGATATATACATATATAGATAAGTTGTCCTGCTACGTCCAAAGATCTCCAGTCCACTGCCACAATGGACAGAAACCAGAAAACCGGCACACTGAAGAAGCTGAAATCACAGAACTCAGACTGATTGTAATACAAATGACTCGCTGATTGTTGGAATATTTGACAACTGATTAATTAGTTGACAACTAATCGATGAATTGATTCATCGTTGTCGCTGTCCCTCCGAGCGGCTGTGTGGTTCTCAGTGATGACTGGTTAAACTCACTAGAACTGGATTTTGGTCCAGTAGCTGTTGGTTCTGGTCTCTGTTTTATATATATGTATATATTCCTCATCAGGTTTTCTTTTACAGTTGTCCGTGATTGTTTCCACTGTTGTCCTCAGTAGGAAGGTCCAACCGCCTCCTCTCGTCCTCAGCATGAACAAACGCTGCACTGATGGAGGATCTTAACACACAGCTTTAGTCACTGACCTGCTCACCTCCAGGTTTCTACACCTGCATGGTAACTTCATTAAATACAATATTTTAAGATTGTGCGGCACTGAGGCACAAAATTGAAATTGAAATTGAAAAGACTCATATGGGATGAAGACAGTGATAGATCCTCAGATAATGAAGCAGTGGATCAGCAGCCGTCTGTCACTGCTGCCACAGCAGAAACAGGAAAGTCCTCGAGGAAACACTGGAGTTTGATGGACAACGTAGCTACTAGTGGACACAGATGAAATGTCAGAAGAAGGTACTTTGACAGTAATGAGATCAGAAGTGATGACAGTCGACCTGTCGACGTGCTCCTCGATGTTCCTTCATCACAGAGAGCTGCTCTGAGTCTGTTGCTGTGAACATGTTCCACTTCACTGGAAGGAAAACATGCAACTGTCTGTTTTTAACAGGTGTGGAAATACTGAAATTGACAAGATCTAGAAACCAACACAGTGGCCAGTATAGATGAAACACTGCAGCGTTTCAAACCGTATCCAAATGACAGCAAGTGCATCAGGCAGCACATCAGAGAGTGTGGATGGAACAGATGGAAGGTAAGTTAAAGCTCAAGCTGGGGAATTATGAAACCAAGCTGGCCAGATGTGGATGTGTGGAAGTATCTGTCAACACAAGTAGGAGGAGCACAAAGAGTGAGCACCTTCAGTCCACCGGGGCTCACATACTGAAGCTGACTTGCTTTCCAACTTTCCACGAGAAGAGAACGAGGCTACCTGGAACAGATGAGGCTCCAAATCATACAAGAAGCTCAAATTACTGAGAGAAGCCAGTTACTGA